TTAAAATTTAAAACATATATCAAATGAGAAATTAGATTTTGACAGATTATCTGAGGAATTACTATTACAGAGAGTTTGTTTGCTAATTTTTTTGGTGTGATATGGTATTGTGGTTATTTTTTTTTTTACAGAACCATCTTTAAGAGAACATTCTGAATGTGGCATCTGGGATTTGCTTCAAAAGAAATGTATTTTGGGGGGCGGAGAGAGGATGGAGGGCAAGATTGGTCCTGACCGATTAATTAATTATGAAAATTGGATGAGATTTGTGAACTTTGAGCATAGTGTTCTGTGTATGTTGCATTTTATTACAATGTTCTATGTAAAAAGCTACAAAAGTAACTTTTCATAGAGAAGGAATTCTTTTGAATTGCCCATGGTAGTGCCTGGGCTCGGGTTTGCTTTAGTTTTGGTTTAAAAGCTCCCAACCTGAGGGGCACCTGAGTGGCTCAGTCTGTTAAGCATCCAACCTCGGCTCAGGTCATGATTCTCGGTTCATGAGGTTGGTGAGTTCGAGTCCCGTGTCGGGCTCTGTGCTGACAGCTCAGAGCCCGGAGCCTGTGTCTCCCTCTCTCTCTGCCTCTTCCCTGTTGGCACTCTGTCTCTGTCTCTCCCTCTCTCAAAAATAAAAACATTAAAAAACATTTTTTTAAAGCTCCCTGCTTGATTTTAAGGTGCAACCCGATTCCAGAACCCTCTTTGATTCTCCTTAACCTTTCCCCAGCGGGATCCGGAATGCAGTCCTGCTAGACAGATGCTGTCCGAGGGAAACGACCCTTCCCCCTGTGATTGATCTCCTCTTTTCCATTTTTGAGTCGCCTCGGTGTCAGGGTCGCAAGATTTATTTTTCTATTAGTCTTCCTAATTTCCCCAGCTGGTCTGCAACTTGGGGAAGTTAATAGCCGTTTTGTATTTGACTTATTTTCCCCTTGCGGCCTCTGAGAATGCCTGCCGAGAATGAGCTGACCCATTTTGAGAATCGGGGTGTGGTTCCCACGACTTCGCTGTTCTCCTTCACCGGAAGAGGAAATGCCCGTCTCGGCGGGCACCTGCAAGCGACTCCGTTCAAGTCCGTTTCACGACGCCCACTGCTCTGCAGGGAGAACGAACACCGTTTCTGCCAGGAGTCAGCGGTTGAGGCGAGGCAGGGAAGGAAGGGGATGCGAACCGTCCCCTGAGGGGTTTCTTCTAGCCACCTGTTTGAGTATTCTATCAGGTCAGGGAGGGCCACTTGAGAAGCTACTTCAAAGGGACCCCACGGGACTGGCGGGCAAGAAACGCTTGTGCTGGAAACCGAAGAACGCCCAGGAGGGAGATCAGTTCAAGGGCCACCCTGTAAGGGCCACAGACAAAATGTCAGATGACGACAGAACTCCCCCAGAGCTGGGGCGGCGGGTAGGATGCGGAGTCTTTCTGCTCTGTGCAGGAGCCCGCACGTCAAGGGTCCTGCATGTGCTTTCACGCTCCACTGTCCCTGTCCTGACATTCCTGATCACTTTTGAACCCAAGGACCCCCTTTCTCATTACGCGCTGGGCCTTGTCAATTAGGTTCCCGGCTGCGAGAAACAATGTTGAATGTGACACAGTGGGGAGGGTCACACGCTCTCTTTGCAAAGTCCAGGGGATCTCGTGTCAAGTGTGAAGCCTGCAGGAGGGTGTGTAAAATCAGAAGATCAAGAAACACCAGGAATGGAGAGAGAGAGAGAGAGAGAGAGAGAGAGAGAGAGAGAGAGAGAGAGGCTACGGTAAGGGGGAGATCAATACAATATGAGTAGTTTTTATACTGCTGGAAGGACTTTTCCACTTCACTGGGGCTCTTCTGAGCTGGTGCCAGCATTGAGCACAGGGCTGGGGAGGCCAGATGCCTTCCGTCGAGGAGCTAAATGTACTTACAGAAGGGACCCCGCCTGGGGAAGGGGGTCCTGTTAGGATAAGGAGCAATGGTGTATCAGAGATTTCCTGCTCAGGGCTCTGAGCCCTGAGTGGCACAGCCAGTCTCTATGGTGGAGCGGGGCCTCCAGCCCAGGTGGGCCATCTCTGAGCGCGTTCTCCTGCCCATTTCATGGCAGTCTTATTGTACAGGGCAACCTATCCATTCACCGGCTCATTCGTTCACCAGGCGCAGCACTCACACACGTTTTTACATTGTGTGAGTCTATATACACGTACAGACACACGGGCGCGCGCACTCACACACACAAATTCCAGATAGAGTTTTAGCTCAGAGTTCCAATGGAAAGCAAGACGGACGAGATTTTGCTCTCATCATGCAGGACGAGGAGGCCGGTGGGTTAGGACCGTGGCGGGCAGGGATGAGAGTTCCAGACGGTGTCAGAAAACACGGGGGGTGGGGGGTTCAGTGGATCATTTCCAATCGGTCATCCTCTGAAATCTTGACTCGACCTTGAAAACAATCGAACCAGCATTGTTTCCTTCATTTTCAAATGTGCCGGTTTACACAGTTTAATTAAAAGAGACATGATGGAACATCACCATAACAGCCAAATTAACCTTTGATCACTGCAAAGAATCTGCGAGAAGCAAAGGTCCTTCGAGGGAGGTCCCTGGTCCAGCAGCAGCAGCGTCTGGGAACTTGCCGGAAATGTGCTTTCTCGGGCCCTACTTATCGAATCAACAGTCTGCATTTTGAGAAGCCATCTGGGTGATTCAAATGCACAGTGAGGTGGAGAACCACTAGTATAAGCCACCTTCCCTGGGCCCTTGAACTCTGTTCAGTTAGGGATGATTCTGACACCTTCCCACTTTTGAGAGCCTCACTGTGTTTCAAGAAACAGCCTTCACACCCACCATCTCATGTGTCCTGATTCACACCTGGGCAGTCAAGTGGCCTCTTCATTACTTTCTTGTTTCCAGGCTTTAAAATCTACCTCATGGAGTTTTCACTGAACTAGTGGTAAGCTAGCACAGAGATGAAAGGTGGAGGGGGGAAATGTTACTGAGAGGGCTTCATGAGAAGATGGACAAAAAGGTGGAGTGAGGTATTGGGTTAATTTTTTGCCAGCTGCTCAAGTCCCACTTCTTCCCCCTGTCTATTTATCATCCATCCATCCATCCATCCACCCATCCACCCATCATCTATCAACTGCTCAGTAGATCTACCCATCCATCCATCTGTCC